TAACGCACCGTATCACAGACATATTACGTGTTATTGTACAGAGTGATTAAATTAGCAGTTTGTAGATTGGTCTTCAGTTTGATGCAATTGCAACAGTGTTGTCGAAAAGTGTTTTTTAAATCCTGGCAGCACGCAATGTTTCTCTCGAGTGTACATCAGCGACTCAATCTGTATTTACTTTCATAGCAAAAGAGCACTCTGTATGTATGAAATAATAAAACGGCAATCTGCAAATCCTCCGGACTCGAGTGGCAAATACAAAAGCCCTCTTAGTGCAGCGTAAAATTCTGTTTCAAATTACGCCGAGTACGACTCCCTCTCTTACCCTCTCCACTGCTAGGTATATATACATTTCGTGCTTTATGATGGTCTTGTATTAACCGCAAACTAAAATGTGTATATGAGGCAAATGCAGTTGGAGAGCACTTCTCGAACGAACCATTCGACAATTTTATGGAAGGTCCTCCAGACGTAGCGAAATTGTGTTTGGTTAATGTTTAATTATTTGGAGCGAAACAACGCTACGCTTGTAATTTGTAGTAAATTAGGTAAATTTAACTGAGAAACGAAACACCTGTACTTGCTCTGATGAAGACATTAGCGGTGTTTGGTAGAAAGAATGACGACCACCGCCTAAACCGCACATGATTGGGTAACACAGTTTGTTTAGGTTGAGTTTATTTAACTCGCGGGGGTAATATTTATCTGCGAGAATAAAATCGTAACTGCTTGAGTCACCAACTTTTAAGAAAATATTTACCCAAGGGCAATGAATAGCTAAACTTTTAATGTCTTTTCGATTTCCATTTAAATCATTTTTGTTCGTTCCATTTCTCGTAAAATTGCCTTCATAACATCATCTCAAACGCTTTCTGACACAAGTCCTTCCATTACTTCAACTTTTGTCTTCGCAACACTTAATGGACTGAAAGTGTTTCGCCGTGGCCGCCAGACGTATTGATAAATGTGTCAGCAGGTCTATTAGTAAGACAGCTTGGTTTCTTGCACTGCAAAGGTTACAACCCTGTCGCTTAATGTCGTCGGTCTGCGTCGCGACGCTGATTAATTGACGTCGCAAGGCTGGACCACCGACCGCGACCTTACTCCATCCGTCATCTTATCAAGTCATCGCGCAGCTGCGTCACAAGAAATTGAATGATGGCGTGTTAGACGAGAGAAGTGTTTACTGAGGGAATTCGATAAGTTTGTCGCAAGACAGGTGACGGAAATATATGATTAGAGCCGCCAAAAAGGCAAAATCCACAAAAATAAAACCCTGATTTTGACCATTTACGTACCTAAATTTTAATTGGTGAATAATAAAATGGAAATCACATTTAAAACCAATGAGTGTTAACCCGTACTTGATAATTTATTTATTTATTGAAGGAGAGAGATAATGGGCTTCAGAACATGAGCAACCAAAGCTTTACGGTTTCACCAAACATTGATCAAATATTTACCCAATCGAATATTTACCTCTGTACCGGAACGGACGGGCTTAATTATTTAGGCAGACTAGGCACTAAGGCTTCAACCCATCAATTAACATAAATCACGACTATCCACAAATTAGTCAGACGTTCTGTTTCTATTTTTGTGTGTTTTTTTGGCTAGTAATAAAGCACTAAGTAAATAATACTGATATGCTAAAATAATCTAAATGTTGAGTACGTATATAAACGCTAAGTACGAGTATTTAAATAAAATTTGTTATAAAAAAGTAAAACGAATTTTTATCTTTTAAGGCATTAAGCACTCAAAACCACTCATTGGACAATCCAATATCTACATACAGAGTGTCCCAGCGAGTTGAAAAAGTGTATTAGTGACTTTTAAATGGTAAAATTTAAAATTATATAACATTGATACATACTAATCTAGTCCATCGCCTAAAATTATTTTCAACTATACAGCGTGTCTCAAGAATAAGTTACAATACAAATTTATGTTTTTTTAAATGAAACACCATATGTTTCTTAGCGTTTTTGGATGTACATTTTTATGACAATGTTTTCAAACTAAACTTTTATTAGTCGATCTTGCTTAGTTTTAAATATAAGACGTTTTTTCTTGACGAAAACATGCACTTTTTAAAAACTTATTATACAAAAACTAAGACATCTAGAAATATTTTTTACTACCGCAAAGAAGAAGGTACAAGCTATCAGAATTAGTGTGTTGCATTTGCAAAGATAAAAAAATGAAGGCATTTGATAAAAGTTTAATAACTTAAAAAAATTAATGGAGCACCCTATTTATTGTGTTTGCATTAGAAAGATTATTAAATTGTCTTTCTAAAATTATTTACTTTTAGGTGTTTATAATCAATAACTAAAATGATATTAAACGTTAAACATTAAAAAAAATACTATTGTTTCAGTAGCCAAAAAGTGCACAGTTGCACAAGAGATGCATTAAATATCACTTAATAATCACATTTGTGTTAAACTGAATCCATTATTCTTTATTTTTACAATAAAATAATTTGAATTTCAGTATTTATAACGACTTTTACAATCTCTGGATAAATCAGCGGATAAGTGATCCGTGGTGGAATTACTATGATTGCCATAGTATCAACAATGCTAAATATTTTTTCATTCATCAATTTTAGACATTAAAAGTTTTTTTTTTAGATACACAATTTATCAATGTATTAGATGCAAAAATAAAAAATAAGGTGTTCCATTTAATTTTTTTAAGTTATTTTACTGTTAACAAACTTCTTAATTTATTAATCTTTACAAATGCAAAACACTAAAAAAATTGCTGCAGTTATGAATTCTGTACTTTCTTTTTTGCAGAAGTAAGAAAAAATTAGTTTTAGTTGTCTTAGTTTTTGTGTTAAAAATTTTTGAAAAGTGCATGTTTTTATCAAAAAAACGTCTTATTTCTAAAACTAAGCAAGATCGACTAATAAAAGTTTAGCGTAAAAACATTGTTTTAAAAGTCTACATCCAAAAATGCGAAGAAACATACGGTGTTTCATTTAAAAAGCACAAGTTTGTATCGTAACTTATTTTTGGGAAATGCTGTATGGTTGTATGGTTGAAAATAATTTTAGGTGATGCACTAGATTGGTATCTATCAATGTCCTATACATTTTTTTTTAATTTTACCATTTAAAGGTTACTAATGGACTTTTTCAACTCGCTGGAACACTCTGTATAATTCCTGCACAAGAATATAATTTATTATTGATAATTATCATTATCAAGTTTAGTGATATTTTAATACTAAACAACTATGTACAATAATTAGAATGTATACATTTTTTATATTGTTACTGCAATAAAAACACATCATTTTTTGAGTTAAAAAAGCTTGTTTTCGCCATTCCCAGCAATGACAACAATATTTTTTTAAATTTACTTTTGTTTAGTATTAGTTTTTTTATAATAAAACTTTATTTTCTTTACCAAGCGTTTAGTGTTTTTACTTAGCGTTTAGTTTGTTCCCTTTTTTTTCTAAGAAGAAAGTGAGAAATGAACCATTTATCAATTATATTTCGTAGAGGTAATCGAAAAATATAGCAAGATCCTAGTGGAAAATTATTAAAAGATTAATTCTGTAACAAAGAAATGGGATTGTAAGCCACTTCAATTGAGATATGTCAGCGCTGTAATACATTTAAGATAAAACACGAAAAATATGATACAAAAATGATTAATTCTAAGCTTTACTGCTGATACAGCAAATCAATAAAGTGCACCAGTGCCAACACATGCTTCAACACAATATAATCTTGTGATTTATTTACATAAAACAGAAAATAAGAATGTTAGATCAACGATAGACTTGCATATTGTATTATAAAATATTGTACCAAAGTCAGGTGAATATGATGCATGTTTGCATCAACAAGATGCTTCAGCACATATTTGTATATCATTTTGGTAAAACAGCTTACGTTCCAAAATTAAAAAAAGATAAATCCCTTCAACAAAACAGAAAATACCTCCAGGCTTGGATTCCAGTTATGACATTAATAAAAGTAAAATGAAGAACAAACAAACAGGTAGGTAATATTATTAATTTTAAATTTAAAATTGCAAATCCTGAGAAACGGAATTGTTTTCGTAATTATATTTAATAATTTTTTTGGAATTTTCCGCAAATTGCGCCAATAAAAGTAAATATGAAACTTTTCCCATTGACACTTTGTCTATGATATAAACTCGGGTTGTTTGCGAGTTTACTGTTCCTTTTACTCCGTTCCGGAATCAAGTTTACGTTTCGTTCTCTATAGCAATAACTCATTGTTTCATCGACGAAAGTGGTAAATTCCAAGAAACCACGAAACACACTCCTCGAATGAAAATGCATGAGTTGTCGAATGTCTGTTTTAATGACCGCGGCATAGTTTACGAGCGTTTTCACATAAAACTGCAGTATTACAATAACCATCATTGAAACATTCAGGTCAATTTTGTGTTTAATAAATGCAGCGTGATAAATAAAATTGCGTCCATTGCACACAACTCGCTTTGCATCCTGTTAATACATCACAGAGTATCGATGGATTCCGGTCGCTGGTTCCGCTCCGGGAGGATATAGCTTTGTGGAACAGGACCCAGAATCACGCCGTCATCTGCCACCAACTGCGACAGGAACCCCACTGAATTATTAACAGTGGCCATCGAGAAACGCAATCTCGGTAATAGACGAAGACGTTCTAATACCACAGACGCTAGATGACTTTGAAATCATTGTTCGTGAATTATTCATCTCTTTAGGAATAAGAAGCACGACGCGGCCACCACGGCGATAAACTGCCTCGCGAGATTTAGAGAGATGTACAATGGGAATACGGGATGGCCACATTTTTGAAACTTTATAACCGAACAAAGAAAATAGTGCAATCAGTCCTTCAATAAATCAAATTCTGAAATTTTTTATCAACTTTTGTAATTAGCAACTAGAGGCGAGGTTGTTTAAGATAATCCATTGCAAATAAATTGTGTGAGGCGCGACAGGTGTCCACAAAACACGTTTTTTGTCATAAATTTATGATTTCATTATAAATTAAAAAAAAGTAGAACGGTAATAAATAAACCGATGTGTGCTCTTCACTACTTATTTAGCCATCATTGAGACAAAATGCTAAAGATTGTAATATAATTAAAAACTTGATTAAACATCAATAAAGTTGTGTTTATAGGTTGTAGTGGCTGTAGTGTTGATTCAAAATCTTGACGCCCAAACCCCCAGCGGGCTCCAAATTGCTTGCAATGCCGCAGAAACCATACAAAGAGATATTTCACGCATGATGACGTATCTGACTTTAAACACAGAGAATTTTGGAAGATACATCTCAAATGTGACAAACTATATTAATTCAAATTTAGAGGTAAATAATAATTATTTGTCCACAAGAAAGGAAAGTGTATCTTTTTTTCCTTTAGTGTAAAACACATAGTTTTTCCTACGATCCAGCAGAGAAAACTTCAAAACTAATAATTTCTTTTCATATCCCAGATTTGCTTCAAACCTTTTTACGTACAATTTTTACTTCCCTGGAGGTGGAAAAACTTACTTTCTGTTAGGATCGTAGGAAAACACAATTACTCAACTTTAATATAGTTTTGTTTTTAAGAGGATGGTTGTGAACGCTTTCAGAATAGCTGGACGTTTATTTTTTCCCTTCCGTTCGCTAGCGACAAGATCAAAAAGAGAAATTCCTCAAGATGACAGTTTTGGAAACAGAGAGCAAAGAAGTACACTGCTTTTTCGTAAGAAACTAATTAATCAAGATTAGAAACTGCCCTTGTAGTGTACACAAAAAATTAGTGTATTTAAAATAAATGTCGGTCTACAATATCTTTTATTTTTATTATATCTGATCTCCCTTACTATAAAAATATCACCAATGAAACATACTTTCCTAATTACGTAATAACATAAATGAGTTTATTTAACTTTTCTAAATTTATGTGACAATTTCGTTTGTTACATTTATTTATTTAAATTTTATTTATTATTAATTTATGACATGAGTTGAATAATTTCACATGGATTACAGTCTGAAAAAAAATTGCTATTTGACAAGTTATTATCACTGGCAATTTTTTGTCACCTAATAACTAGAACTTGAAAATATAAAATATTTTATAACAAGCGACGAAAAACTTTTGTGGAAAAATTAAAATTAAAATACCTACATTTGATCACAAAAATGTTTCTCTTTTTTTACAAAATTACAAGAATTTGACAATTTACAAATAAAATTAAATACACTTAAAAAATACACTTCTTTAATAAATAGTAGATTACATACCAAGGTGAGAAGTGCTTCATTACCAAAGCAAAATAAGCCAAGGTACAATCAAGCAACAACGACCAACTTTTATATACTATTTTATTCACAATCAGTCTTCTCTTAAACAACAAAAAGTCAATAAAAAATTTTTCAAATTTGAAAAATATGACAGTTTAAGTTGGTAAGTGGCCATTTCCTAACCTACACTGTATTAAGTTAAAATGTTATAATTTTCCAATTTTTTACATGCAATGTAATTTATGTAAATAAAAATAACAACACTTAGACAAAACGTCTTAGCGATAAAAATTCATTTTGTGAGGTCAATTTTGAAAAATAATTACTTGGAATTGTGATAAATTTCTGTCAATTTGCAAAAGATAAGTTCAGAGCTATAAATTTGTTACGTTACGATAAGTTACAAAGCATTTATGCTTAAAACCTAAAGAGTTTAGTTGGTTCAAGTTGGTATTTTCGGTAAGGTGGTAATACCATGTCAAAATTCGTTAAGTTAATTGTTTTATTATTTAAACAAATTTATATTAAATTCTTGTAGATATTAATTCTATTGGTAGTGTCATTTCACATAATAACAGCACAAAACAGAACACAACAAGCAACAATAAACACCATTGAAAATGTAATAAGAAACATTGTAAATACATTAACAAACTGGTCACAAGGTGCTCAAAGATTAGGATCTAGTTTTACATCAGCAATAAACTTTCTTCAAAACATGGCACAGGTACACAAAGTAATGCTTTCAAAATAATAAAACAACATTGTAAAATCGTAGCAAATCCTTCAACGTATTGAACCTTTGATCGGAAGATTTATTAATCCCACGAGCAGTGCCAGACCACCAATCGCAAGAAGAAGCTTACAGAAGAGAAATGTGCAAGAGGTGGATTTCAGAAACCACTTTTTCCACCGGAACTTTTAGAAAAAAATTGCTACAAGTCTAAACTGCCATCAAATCGTGAGATTTCTGAGATGTTTCATGTAACAAAAACTGTATAATTTTATGAAAAATACACGTGTGTCAATTGTCAATTGAAATATAAACCTATTATCGAATAAAAAAAACTGCACTGTTTTGTCATAAGAGAAGCGGAAAAGCGAGAGAAAAACGTCACTGACAATTATTTGTCAACTATGTGTGAAAAACTGTCCAGAGCGTATTTATTGAAGAGTGCATTTGGTTCATTAGTGGCGCTTTTGCAATTAAACTGGATAAACAACTACAGAGGGAGGAAAATGTGAATAAGTAAGTTTTTTTCTTTTACAGGTACTTGATGGAAGTAGTACAACTTTATTCTACACATGGTTATTACTATGATAATAGTATCATAAGATTTATTTTTCTTACTCGATATAGTAATGGTCAGTCACAAACTTTTTTTTCTCAAAATTCTTTTATATGGGGTTCTTGAGTCGGATAGTGTGCAGAAAACTGCATTCTAGATGCAATGCGTCAATGGAGGGTCTCGACACTGCTCGCGGCGGCAAGCCGACACACGCAATTTGTTAAAAACACCAATAGTACATAAAAAATGCAATAATTACACTTTACACATTTCACTTTACTAATTTTAAATAATTTACGACCGTTTGTTATCGAATTTTCATTGTTTTATGACAAATTTACAGGAAATCAGAACATTTCTTTAATAGTACAGTGCAGCTTTTAAAAAGTCTTCTTCTCAGTTAGATTAGGATTTCCAATAATCATCTAGCAGTCGTTTTTTGCTTGAAGCATAACATTTCATTCGTTCATATCCACGGTGGACCAAATAAATCAGCGATCCGGTTTTCCCCCTGGAAAGCGTTCAACACCGCAACGACCCAATGTAAAATCCAGCGCGATTTATTACAGCAACACCACGCCAACATAAATCATTTCGAGATATCGCCACAATGATAGGACCGCGCAGCCTTTTAAATTCGCCTCAACTAGCCCTCCTCTGCCCCCAGGAAGCCTCTAACATATCGCCGGTGTCTAGATATCGATAAATGGTGCGAAAAATACCATAAACTAAGACGTCTGAGTCGTGTATCGGTTGCGATTCCGGTAAGAAATCAAACGGCTGTCACAACTTTGGTTCCTTTGAGTAACACACGGCCTCTGAAGAACTTAAGTGCCAGACTTACGAATTTATTGAAGATATTCCACAATAACCGGTCGTTTGACCTCACTGAAATGGATGTCAATTCCCACAGCACCGACGCGGACATTTACATGAAGATTTTTTTTTAAACTTCGATTTTTCAGTGCTGTTCGGTGATGTGTGGCATTATTTTTTCAGTTGTAAACGAGATATATTAACAACGCGCAACGCTTATGATAAACTGCGAAACATTTTATAACACACAAACTTGACGGTTGAAAAAATCACTGAAATTACTTGTATTAATTCTTGAAATTTTCCTACATTTTTTCGGAAGTAAACAATCATAAATTTGAAACTGTCTAGCTTAAAATGTAAAAACAAGTTAATTCCTGAACTGTAAATTACGCTGAAAAGTCTCACACATCTAAACAATTAACTAAATTAAAAAATTAAAGCGTACATCTGCACTTACCTAATGTCATTAGTTTAACGATTTGAATAACGTCGCAGTTTTCCACCACTTCAAGATATGTTATTTCGCATTTGTAAGTCGCTTCGTCGTCTACTTTCACCGGAGATATTTGTAAAAATGTTTCATTTTTAGCTTCGTTATAAGTCATGTTCATTCTGAAACAAAAGAAAATTACAATTAGATAAACCAAGAGGGTTTTCAAATAAACAAAACAAAAGAAATGTAACTTGTTTATTAAACAGATAACATGTTCTGTTTCTTTCAAGTTTTTAAAATGATATAATGAGTGATAAACAATTTACATTTCGGTCAATTTATCGCAAAGAAACTTTTGTCTTTATCGTAAAAGATTGTGCTTCTCACGTCCTGAACGCTCCTCTGGCATTACAATCCCCCAATGTCCTACTTTAGCAAACTTGAGTATTTTTATTCAATTATATAAAAATTTTCCTTTGTAAAAGGAGGATTCCAAATCCGACAACTTTTAATCCCCTAAGCTTTCCCAAATTTTGTCTTAAGCTGTGTGTAAAATTATTTGTCTAGTTTCTAAAGCCTCATTCTAAATCATTGAAACGTAAAAAATAACATTTCCTTCTAGGTATTGTTTATTCCCTAGATACGACTAGAAATTAATATACCACAAAACTTTTTTTTCTCAAAATTCTTTTATATTGAGTCTTAAACAACACTTTACAACTCACCGGTTAGTGTGCAAAAAATTGCATTTTAGATACGTTACGGGAAGCCGCCACACACAATTTGTTAAAAACACCAATGCCACATCAAAAAATGCAAGAATAACACTTTACACATTTTGCTTTACTACTTTAAAATAATTCACGGCCGTTTGTTAAAAAAATTTCATCGTTTTAGTTGATTTTTATTTCATGACAAATTTGCAGGACAATTAATATCAAATTAAAAAATTAAATTCAAAAAAAATTTATAAATGTACCTATAAGAAAAATATCATTCTTTGATTCTAGATTACAATTTGCAATAAAATAATAGTTACGTGTTCCGACCATATATAACCGAATTGCTGTACTCCGGTTATGATTGAATTGAAATGTAATAGTTATTTACTGTTGTGAGCGTGGTTATCCACATTTCACCCCACACTCCTCATCCAACAATTTCATTAATACAAAATAGTGCTAGATATTATAAACATAATGGATTTTCACAAACTGACCGTGTGCTATAGATGATAATTTATTACTCTGATTTATATTTAGTTCCGTTAACTGGCTTCCACCGTCGTCAATATTTTCCCATTGTGTCAAATGGTTGTGGAAAAATAACGCCGAAATTTATCCGTGAAATATAATCCGTGCGAAATAATAACAATAATAAATAATAAACCTCCTGACGGCCTTAACTAAGGACGCATTACTGCGATTAATTTTAATCAACCCAAAACTGGATCGATTCCATTTTAATTCCCTTGGCGCCGGTGCTATTTTTTATTTATAATTTTTTAAATAAAACAATAACCCTTTAGCATTTAATAGCTCAATTTACGTACAATACACACAACAAAAAATTATTTCAAAGTATTTTTTTCTATTAAGGTATACACAATTTTAGTTATGTTAGTGTTCATATCCAAATTTGTTCACTTTTATTACACCGTAATTTTTATCGAGTATAACACTCAAATAATTCTTAGAAGAGAAATAAAACAAGTATTTCATTTAAAAAATAAAAAAGTTGTGTTTATTTCCATTAGTTGAAGAAGTGTTGATGAAATCGAGATAATTCAAAATGTCTTGTTAGTTTAGTGTTTACTCGAGTTGTTTTTCTACATCCATCTAATTCAGTTTTAATTTAACTTGATAGGAGTGTATGTAAAACAAACAAAAAATACTGAAACAAAATGATTATGCAAGAGCACAACCAACTGCAATAGGAATTAATTTAAAAATGTATTATATTTTTAAGTTAAATAAATTTACATTAGTGAGTACAAGAAATTTATCTTAGAGAGTGCAAATCAAGTTTGTTAAATATATTTTGACTCATTTGTTTGTTTAACATTGCACAAATCATATCGATTCGCAGATAATATTCATGTTAAAATACCAAATTCACCTGAAATTATGTCAAGTGATTTAACATACATTTGCATCGAGCAATTTCCTGAAGTTAAAAGTCCTTTGTAACAATATCTGGCATTTGTCGGAAATATTCCGGAAACCACTCAAATTAATTTAAATTTCTGTTCAAAGTCTACAGTTTGACACTTTAGTTGTGCCTTGAAACTATGACTTTGTATTGGCGCAACTGTCTCGAACATGAAGCGGCTTAATTTACTATTCGCTTTTGAAATCTACTATAATATCAACGATGTCAGTTAAATTAACTTTATTAGAGGAAACTGATTGGGTCCGTTGCGGAATTTATCAAGCTGACACGTTTTAGCGACTGGATATTATTACACCTGCCGTCAAAGTGCGGTCAATCCACTTTGACAGTTGATGCCGACATAACACAAAATCCTTTTAGTAATTCGAACACACACTACACCAATGTAAAGACTTGCTAATCCAATGTAAACATTTTCCTAAGCGCCAAAACACTTTTCTGGAAGAAACTGGTAAAAATCTCGTTTTTGATTACTTTTCTAATCCGAAAATTTCCGTGTACAAGTAATCATGAACACTCCGTTGAACAATATTGGCTAGTTAACAGCAATTCCTGTGTGACAAAGCCAAGTCCCGATTAAATTCCGTATTGTAGCGTGTACAAAGCGCAGCGCTAACATACCCACCTATAACTAGAGTCAAAGTTAATTTCCCCGCGAAAACAGCCGCTAGAGATTGATCGGAAAATGAACCACCTAACGATGTTACTTTTTCCCGGTTCAATAAAGTTTATCGGTGGCGGTGGTGCCAGAATTACCCGTGTTTTTGTTCTTACTCGGCTGTTGAAGAGCTCCTTTGTTATACAAATTGATTATCCCAACTAACAGCAAACTTGAGCACTTTCAAATAAGATTTTCTCAACTAAAAATATCTGGACGGTACAATGGGAGTAATCAGTGTTGTTATTCTATTTGATTTTGCAGATAGCAGACGTGATTTCGGTCTAAAGAATCACTCCAATTAGATGAGGGTTCCGGTATACAAAAGCAATATTTTCAATTTCGTTCAACTTGTTTATATGAAATTTATAGTACTGATTGTTAAAACTTAACTAAGATAGTTGCTAATGACCGTAATTTATACTTGTTAGCTCCTGGAAACAATAGACTCGTCTTCAATTATTCAATTATATAATTTCAACAGTTGTTAGGTTTCGATTTATTTGCTCGTAGTGCTGACAAAGGGTTCTTACCCCTCATTACTAAAACGAATGCCATAAATGCCTGTATATTTTTCCATTATCAGTTTTTATCGTTGCCACAAAAATAGATTCATCACTGAGACTGAGACACATACAAATAAATCCCTTTTTTAGCTTTGTACTCCATTACATGTGACACCTCCAGCGGACTGTACTATCTCTTTTTTCTCCTCTTTTTAAATGTATCTTCGTGTACGGTTAACGACGGTCGCCAGCGGCGCACGTGTCCAAGCATACATTCCGTTGTGTTTACGATTCGGAAGCGAAACTGTATCAAGGGGCCTCAATTTCGATTTATTGCAGCAAACTTTCGGTTTCCAATAACCGTAAATTGTTCCATAAAATCCACATGCGGACAATGGCATAAAAAATGTCTGCTTTTAACAACAGCTTCGTTAATGGATCGTCAGAATATCAGATTGAGAGTCTGATGACCGAGACAACAAATCGTATAAAAACATAAAAAGAGAAATAAGAGATGGCGTATTACAGTGTTCAAACAGATATGCAAAAGCAAATAATAAATATATATAAAAAAATATAAAGATTTAGACAGAAAGTACTTACTGTATTTGTCGCAAATAATTTATATGGTGGGGCAATGTCGGAGTATTTGTCATTTGGTTAGTTTGAATTCTTAAAAAACTCTTGCATTCAAGAAATATTATATACTATTTATTATATCATGTATTTTTGCTGACAATTTAGCCAAGTTAATTAATAGAGCTAAATTACAATTTGTTAATCATATGTAACAAGTATACAGAGTGTTCCGTTTTTATTGTTACAAATTTAAACAGGTGATAGGACATTCAATTCTAAGACAAAAGTTTCCTATAAACATGCATCGAAAAATGCTTGGTAAGGGAGCTACACCCCCTGTAAGGGGGCTAAAATGTTTTTGCTAATATTTCAGAAACCATTTAAAATAAAATTACAAAATTTGATACAGATGATAATCTTTATACACCTAAACGAATTCAAACATCAAATGTCGAAATTTTTAATCAGGGGCGTACGAAACTGGGGGAGCTTAAGGTAAAAAAATACCCTATTTATTTTGGCTTTAGTTTCTCGATACTTTCAGCAACAAAATATTAAGTTCGATAGTTTATCACAGAAAAGTCTCTCTTGTGTCGATACGACTGATTGTTTTTGAATAAAATTAATTTAAAATTTATGCTACACACCAATACAACATTCAAATAAATCAGAATTTACAGAATAATAAAAGCAAGAAATTCATATTTTTTAATCAACCTCAACTAATTAATATTACATTACAGTAACAATAATAACATTAATTAAATGAATTTGCCTAAATCTAAAGGAGCTCTTCAAAGTGACCACCATTTTGGTCAATGCATAACTAAAGAAAGTAAAGCCAAAATAGGTAGGGTATTTTTTTACCCTAAACCCCACCAGTTTCGGACGCCCCTGATTAGAAATTTCGACATTTGATGTTTGAATTCGTTTAGGTGTATAAAGATTATCATCTGTACCAAATTTTGTAATTTTATCTTAAATGGTTTCTGAAATATTAGAAAAAACCTATTACCCCCTTTCAAGGAGTGTAGCTCCCTTACCAAGCATTTTTCGATACATTTTTATAGGAAATTTTTGCCTTAGAATTGAATATCTTATCATCTGTTTAAATTTGTAACAATAAAAACGGAACACCCTGTACTATATTATTTTATTTTTATGTAAGGGTATATTTAGGATTTTCTAAAAGCATCATTTCTTTTTTATTATATTTTATTTTAGTTTTTTTATTACTGTTTATTTTCTGCTTTACTCTGTATTA